TTTTGAACTATTGCGTTTTGAATTCAGTGAAAATTTGTCTAGGTTACATGCATTTTAAATGGGATCAGCTGTTCACTTTACCAAAGTGGTAACCAGCGACGTCATGTGCGCACGAAAATCGAGTTTTCGACCGATTAATATCCTACCTTGTATTCATTGTATCATGTATCAAACCGGCAACGCGGCAATGAGACGCGCAAGCTCAATCAGCCAGGACTGGTGTGGATGGGTAATAATGGGTTTCATAACCATCGTCTGCTAACCTAATACCAAATACCTAATCTAATACAATGAATGTGAAAGTCAATGATATAGAATTAAAATTTAACGAGTGGCTTAATACTCGCCCAAATATCAGTTCTACGTCTTCAAAATCACCCATATCTCGTGCTGCCAAGTTTCGCTCCACGAGCTCGCTCCAGTCTCATCCTGTTTGTCTCTGGCTATCCAATTTACAATTCGAGTAATTAAAATCTCCCGTCGGAACCAGCTGATGCTCCTACTAGCGTAAACCAAGCAGGCGGGCGAAATATACAAAATACTGCACGTAGATGTCGGAGTCGATGGTCAAATTTGGTCATGACGACGCCAGAACTGGGAAAGAATGATCCACTGGTCTGTTCTATTCTTGGCACTTGATTCCTTTGGTAGGGTCACCTTCCTGAATCGATTTTTTGTTCCTTCCATTCAAAAAATGTGGTGAGATAAGGTGGACGGACAACAACCACGTTGCCAGACAAAACCATTACAAGGACTGCTAATAGTTGAGAGCGAGATACAAATATTTAAACATTCAAATATTAAAAATACCTGAAATATTGCTAATCTAACCAGACAAACTTGTTTACTAAATCCAAATTACAAATAAATTTCGGTTGAAAACAAAAGATTATTACCAGTATAACTTATAACGACCTACCTTTGTCAACGGGTTAACAGTTGCAGCTCGAATGCTCTTTGCCTCTGGGAGCACGCGAAGAGGATTCTATGTGAACAATGAAAAGGTTTCGGTGTCAACAGAGCGGTCATTAACTTTTGAGATGGGCAAGTGCAGAGTTGAAGGTGTACCAACCCCAGGCACCCCCATGACCGGTTTTGAGGCTATTAGCTCTCATCAGCTACGTTTAGCCTGAAACTAACTATCTCGACACCTGCATTATCTTGCAAAGAGTAGCAACTAGTTGCTGTCGCCATATGCTCTTGTACGAGCATCCAGGCAGACTTACTAGAAGCCACAACAATCTTCCACATTCTTGAGTGCCAGCATGGGAAAACCTTTGAACAATAAAGCGCTTTCGGTATCAGCACAGCTGTCCAAAGCTTTTACAATTGGCATGTGCAGATTTTGAGGTTCTTTAACTACAAGGAAGGTCCTGGGGGGTCTGAGGTTGGCGCACCTCGAAACATGCACTTGCCTGTTTCAGGATACTATGTGATTTGCTACCTAGTTGTACGTGATTGATTATCCTTAAAGACGGGTTGGCTTTTTCCTAATTTAGTCGACTTCCAACTTTCTTACTTGATTGTTTAAAATTTACATCTTCTGTTGCTTGAAACCACTTTTGTCTACGGGAGGCATCCAGGGTGGAGTATTCCCTCCCATTTCATAATCACAACTGGCGAAGTATTGATGGAATTTTATTTCGCTCTCGTTGTTCTATTCTCATAGCTAATCGTTCCAGAAACGTCTCCATGTGGTTCTCGGTAGTTGATATAACAGTTCCTAGAAATATCTCGTAGAATTAGTGTGGAGTTATGCACCAAATACTTGCCCAGGTCTCTAGATAATGTTGGCTCAGTTGGCTTTTGAGAAATTTGATCTAGGCCTAGGAAAAGATCTTATTATTGGGATCTGTATAACCGATATGGCGTGTGAAACATCTAGACCTAGTAATAAGTAAACGTAAAATAAACTTTAAAATATACTAATTTGAAAAGCCATAACACTTGATGCGGAAAACTATATTAGAATATACATTAGTTTTTATTGTGGGTCACAATTGTGCAACCATATGCAGGTTAAAGCCTTTACAAAATATTTCTTTGGCTTGAATCCAGTAATTGGGTCACCGAATATGTATCGAAATACGAGAATTTAACGTTTTTAGGCATAGTGTCCTGGGGTGAAGGCTGTGCGCAGCCAAACTATCCTGGAGTCTATAGCAGGGTCAACCGTTATATTACTTGGATAATGTCAAATACCAAAGATGCCTGTTATTGTAAAAATTAAAAGTAAGCTTAAAATATTTTGTGTTATCAGTAACAGAAAATATACTGTACCAATAACAAAAAAAACACATATTAGATATTGGCGATCTCACACAATTAATTACAGATGAGTTTATTGAGCTTCTGAACAACAGGACGCTCACCAATGACACAGCGTTGATGGTAACCTACAGTGAGGAAATCAGTCGAGAGTTAGCATCATTTGAATTTCTGCCAAGTTGTTTGTATTTTTATTGTACTTATTAACCACATTAAAGAAAAAACAGGTTGTCGACTTATTTACACAAACAGAAGATAATGATTATTACGGAGAATTGCGAGATATTTTGAGTATGTAAATAAAAATTCCTGTATTGTTCACTCAACAAATTATCTCACTCACCTCTGCCAAGGAGCGGAATTGTCTTGATGCATCAACAGAAAAATCAAACTTTATTGTTCAAACGTTCTTCACTTTATAGGTTAATGTCATCAGAAGGTTTGTATTTTTTAGTAAAATTTAACTTTTTAACAACATCGAATGTCTCCGCCACTGGATGGCACTCAGGACGTGAGTGAGAGTACCTTCAAGAAGTAGTTTTCCGCCCTCAGCTTGTAACTCAAATTATTTTATCAAGGTAATCTGCCTAATTAAAACTATGTAAATACTTGTTCCTTCGTAATTATTAAAAACTCCGGAAACCGTGAAAAAATACAAAAAGTGACAATAAACTGGATCAGAATAAACGGTAAATTCAGTAGGATTCGTTAAAGGTAAGAATCTACTTTTTTCGAAATGTGAATATTGCCACCGAAATTTTTTTCTTTATTGTCATTATAGCCTTGAATTGATGTGTATACAAATAAACATACATTTCCGTCGTTAACTCCAAACAAGTTAGTGCCTGCGTAATAACCGTATTGTGCACTCTTCTCGAGCAGCTCGTATTCGGTTAATGAACTCCTGCTTAACTTGTACCGGTGTTCACTGTGTGTGTTCACACTGGTGTTCTGTCTATTTCACATACGTGTTAGAAATGTAGGTAGGTATTTATTTGATGCCTGAGAAAGTGTCAGTTGCCAGAAAGCTGGAAGGCTCTGCTGCAATTATCTGCAATGTCTGTTAATGATAAAAACATTATGGCAGTTAAGATATCCTATTTAGCCAACTTCACAAATTCATGATATCCTATTTTGCAACTTAGAAGGAAATGTCTAATTATGCTTACGAGGTACATAATGTTCTTTAGTTTCGCAGATAGCATGTAATCTTATTAGCATTTAATTAGTATATATTTTCACAAGCTTGTAATAACCAACAGTTGTATCTTAAAGCTGAAATCCATATCAATCGAAATGAAAATTGTTTTAAAAACTCCCTTTCCAAGGAACTGATTTTAACTTGGCAACTTTGACGTTTCATAAAAAAATCGTAAAAGAAAGTTTTCTTCTACGATTTTTTCGATGCCTATCAAAAATTTTCGCATTTTGAAGCATAGGTCGTAATTTTTTTCGAATAGTTACCAATCAAACGGTTAAACCTAAGTATAGGACATTATACATAAAGCATATTTCGAATTTGAAATAGAATGGAAAAATATATCAATATATAGGGTGTTGCGTTAGTAAAGTAAACAAGTTTATATCAACTTTCGGTGTAACCCGAACTGTGGCCATCTTGAGAATATTGTTGCGGCGAACGCGAAATTCGAGTTTTGCCAAGGCTATATATCGAAAGTTATATGTTAGTGAACAAGCTATTAAATCAACGGGAAATAGTAGGTTTGTTCGCGTAGCAGTTGAAAAAGGTCTGAACCTGCTCCGCAAACAAACCTACTCAACCCTGTTGTATCATAAATGCTATGTTTAACGGCCACACGTTATGGCAACTTAACAGTTCAGGATAACATTTTCGATAACGCAGCAACATAACCGAGGTGTGCTTTATCTCCGAGTTAACGTATGCGTTTCCGACCCAGTTATCCATCAAACGTTAAAAAGGAAAAAAATAGATCATGCATAAAGTGAGATGCCTTTATACGAATAGTCTATTAGTTAGAGAGAGTTAACATCAACCCAAAGATAAATTTATTTTTGGAAATTAGATTTCGGAAACATTTGTAGGTTTAGAGAATTTAAGAGTTTAGTCTTTAAATGGTTTTAAAAGCAGGCGTTGTTGTTGTTTTTGTCGTTGTAGTTTTATTAAAGCTCAGAACGAGTAAAAATTTAAATTAACCATTAGAAAAATATTCTACTTTATCGTTTGTTGTTACGTCACATGGATAGTTCGTTCGTCCCTAGATTATTCCACTGATAAAAACTAACATTTTCAGTGCGAATCATTCACCTAATTATGCGATTATTGTTTGTTAGTAGTAGTTTTGCGGGGGGACCCAAATGGGTCCGGCGAGTAGGCCTTAAAGGCCCTTTCACCATAAACGGAAGTGTTACGTTTACCTAGAAGGTGATACGATGTTCCTCTGCCGTTCCACATTGTCGACATACGGGACTAACACCGATTCCAAGTATGTGTACCTACACCTGTCAGACCGCAGTGGCCTGTCATGACACCAACCAGAGTTATCAGGGCCCAGCGACTGCTTGGCCAGCCATTTGGACGTTGCCTTGACCTCGCCTGGCTTCCAATCAACTCTTTGGTTTGTCTGCACCCTTCCTTCTTTCTCCACGATTATGTGGTACTTTTAAGGGCCCAGTCGTTGTGTGCGCTTGCTACCCGTCTGTTAATTACCCCTATGTGAGGTTCGGCATTGTTGGTTATAATTCGGGTTGTTTTTATGATAATGTGCCGACAGCAGATCCTTTCCCCGATGATGTCGATGGCAAAGTCTGTGTACCAACAAGCATTCGCACCAGACGCAATATAGATAAATCCAAGTGTCACTGCTGTGAACCAAATGTCTTAGAAACAGCCTAATCTCACTCTACTTCTCCAACCTGACTCGTGAAGAAAAGAGAAGAATTGTAACTCCACTGAATTGACACGCTACAAGCAGAAACCAAGATGGCACCAAGCAAGAGATGCCTCGTGTTTCATCTGTATTTCATTTCACTTTTTTTCATAATTCTCCCAAGTAGCAAATAAAGGGCTGTTCCTTGGAAGCCGGTAAATGTTTGCCCTCCATTTGACCCGGTCCAAAACCACCAAAGTATTCTATGGAACCAGCCCAGTGTGACCCCATCTGCCCTCTCACAAGATATACATATATTTTTTCAGAATCAAATAAAAATTTGATTTTCCTGCAAAACTTTTTGCCCATACTGGCAAAAATAATTAACGGTTACTGACGGATAGCAATGCTGGAATTTCGCAAATCTATACAACTTATGCAACTTTTTTTCTATTCTTATGGGGTTATTAGTAATGGAAGATTGCATGTAGACTGGCGCGAACCTGAACTTCATGTGTTCACTACCCAGCAAACACAAATGGTCCGTGGGATGTTCCATTTTGATCTCCGTTATCCCGCATGGGATGGTCGTCGGTAGGATGTCTCTAGGCCGCCCCTAGTATCGCACAAATATCTTATGCAGATCTCATGCGAGCCGTCCCAGAAACGTTATATTTTTTTGCTCCCAAGGACGTAATGAACAGGACGTATATGTAATAAAAGTAAATGACACTGTATTCTATGCTAGGCAGGGGCCAACTTGAGAATTTCAAATGGTAACCACAACATTTTATTGGAGATTCGAATAGTACGTCAAAAACTGAGAATAATCTATCCAAAACGTTTTCTCCTATTTTGACAGGTGGAGTTGCAATTCATCAATTATCATTTTTTGGGTTATTTCTCCTAAACTATCTGTTATTTCCATATTTCATAGCACTCCCACCAAGGCTCTACGGACTGCCCAAGATCCATAAACCGGATGTACCACTGAGGCCCATTGTGAGCGCCATTGGTAGTCCGACCTACAATATTGCAAAATATCTAGCTAAAATTGGAAAAACGGACAGCTTTATAAAGGACTCATCCTATTTTGTTCAGAGGTTGCACTCGTTGTCGTTGTCGCCCGGGGAAATCCTTGTGAGTTTTGATGTGGTTTCATTCTTCACAATGGTACCAATCAGGGAGGCAATGGAACTTGTTGCGAGAGAATTTCCAACAGCGAATTCTTTGAGCAGACGGATGGAGTAGCAATGGGCAGCCCTCTTAGTCCAGTGATAGCCAACTATTTTATGGAAAAATTTGAGAAGAACGCTCTGGACACAGGCGTGAGGAAACCTAATTGTTGGTTTCACAATGTTGATGACACACGGAAAGCTGGCCCACACGGTGTACAGAAAACCGACACATACCGACCGGTACCTGCACAGTGGTTCAAGCCATCATCCCAGTCAGAAACGAGGAGTTATCTAAACTCTCACCGAAAGAGCCAGAAGAATCTGCGAACCAGCCGAGTTAGAGAAAGAATTAAAACACCTGGAAAGGGCCTTTGGTTGGAATGGATACAGTAAGAAAGATTTCAGTAGAGCAATTCGACCAAATAGCAGTGGATATCGTTCGGAGACAACAGAGACGCTTGATGAGCGTAAGAGTTGGGCTTTCCTCCCGTACATACTCCATGTATGGACATGTCACGGACAGGATCGGCAAGATACTGGAGAAACATCCAGTTAAAACCATTTTTAAACCAACTCGAACCATCCAACATACTTTGAGATCGGCCAAGGACAAACGGGATCCTTTATCAGCACTAGGAGTCTACAGAGTTCCGTGCAGCTGCGGAAGAGCATACATCGGCACCACAAAACGAAGCATAAACACAAGGATCACGGAGCACAAACGAAGTTGCAGATTGGGACAAACCGAAAAATTAGCAGTAGCGGAGCTCGCACTACTAGACGGCCACCAAATACGCTTCGACGAAGTGGACATTCTGCACCAATCTGAAAGATACTACCCGAGACTTACCAGAGAGGCCATCGAAATATTTAAACACCAAAACAACTTTAACAGAAAAGAAGAAATTACGACACTCAATCCAGATTGGAAGCGCGTTTTGCGCCAAACAGCGTGTGCGCCGAAGCATTTGAACCCCCACCCATTCTCCACGCATGAGTACACACGGCTAGGCTGCATAAATACGACGGGAAATCCAGCAGTTGAACCAGTCTTAGTCGGAAAGCACGGGAGATCACTTTGCCCACTGCCTCATCGCCTTTGATAATGTCTACTGCAGTTGTGGACGAAACGTCAGGAAAAAATTCCCATGGACCACGGCTTCAAAGCCCGAAAAACATTCCTATGTCTGTTATTTAATTGA